GTGAAAACGTAAAACCGCCATTTCTCCGCCAATATTTAGCCTTTTTCAAAAAAATTTTTCAGAAATTAGAGATTATTCCTCGACCACTATTTTGACCCAAAAATCCAAATATCAAGAAAATTGCCGACCCGAAGGTATACTGTAACCTTAAGTCAAGTGGATCATGTTTCGATTCCGATCTGAGAGTCGGAGACTGTACATAATCACGTGACGTTTGTGAAAAAGGCGGCAAAACCAAGCGACGCGTGGTGCAGTTGGCTAGTTGAATGAAAACATCTCTGAAAGTTGCGGGCAAGACGGCGGCCGATATCTTCGCCAAATGTTTGTTCTGGTAGTCGCGAATGTTCCAAAAAATTACCCACACAGTTAAACAGAAAGCTCAAATATGTGCGGAGCTGAATGTTGTATCGTTCGTACAAGGTAAGAATTCGATGGTAGTGATTTTTGAGGACGGGGAGAATTTCTCTGTCGAAGTTTGTGTATTGATCTTCTTGCTGAAGTTCGTAGTTGTGTGTATTAAGATTCCTGTTGCAGTCAGCTCTTCTTTTCCGTTATATATTGTGCTGGTTTTGAATGCCTTACTGGATTTCACAAACCTCTTCGAAATATAAGGTAACGAGCCGTTTAGTAAATAGACGAAAGAAACCATTTTAACTGCGTTCGCTGTCCGTGACGGAATGGTTTTTGCTCCTGCAAATCAGTTGTTTGAAGCTTAATTTTAACTCATTTTCTGGCGGTTTCTTCGAGCATTTATAGGCAGTTTCCTAGTCAGGCAAAATGCAAGTTCCGGGGTGCTAAATGGCTAGAGGTTGAGATGGAAAATTAATTTTGATTTCTTTCTTTAGCTCAAATATAGCGCACAGCTTAAAAGCTCCTAGCGCAATGAATAAATCCATGTCAATTTCAGCGGTATAAAAATTTAGTGGTGAGCAATGAAGACAAAAAAAGTCTTTTGCGTCTGGTTAATGGCGAGTGTCGCCCTGAGAACTTAAACTCATGTAGCGGAATAATAGCATATAAGCCCTCGATTCTTTCGAGCCTCCTTCTCGGCCAATTAGTGTATATTTTTGATCATAAACGTTTGTCGTGTTACTATCATGACCACGATAAAAACATCGTCCACGATTTAACGACGTGTTCTTGTACCACTCGAGAGCAAAAATTGTTCCTGATTTTTAGTTCGAAAATGCTTTAAATTGTAAAATTGTGGTTTCTTGGCTGTTTCTCTTGTTTCCCCGCAAATATGTAAGCTATTAAATCTCAGTTACAGGGTACTGAATTCTTTTAACTCTAAATAGTTTGACATACAATGGAATGGAATTATTATAAGCACTCGGAGTAAAACGAGTAGAAAGACAGGCGTGTTTAATGGCAGAGAATTCAAAAAAGAAGAAAGCCTTATCAGTTTTTGCCTAAAATTTGATTTTTTTTCTCGTTTTCGTGGGGTGTCCGAAAATCCTTGAAATTATCAGAGGACGTTAAACCTGTTACAGAACAGCTGCTTAAAAATTTCCGTTATAAATATATCAATTTATTTTTCAATTCCCGAGTTATGAGCGTTATATGATTTCTTCTCATGTTAGTAAAATGTCTTTGATGTACCACTGTATTCTCTCTACTAACGATAAAAGAACTGTAAGACAATCAGGAAAGAGAATCGATATCTTGAGCTTGTGACTGACAGGGTTAAGAATGGTTCTTGTTTATTTTGCAGGTTGTTGCTGGGTACTTGTCCTTTTGCTGCTGTATTTGGTTATCGGAGTTATTTTGCTGCCCTTTTTGATCCTGTACCTTGTTTGTCTCTGCCTTTGTTATCCCTTGGGATGCTGTAGGAACAGCGACAACGACAACGCTCCACTGGTCAACTCGTAAGATGTAATGATTGGCATCAGTTTGGGATTATCACAAGAGTGTGGTAGATCCTGTCGAACTGACAGCGTTAAAGGTTTTACAATTATTTCCAAACGTAGCCGGGTTTAAAATAGTTTTGCATTTGTTTTGGTCTCTAATTTGGTAGAAAAACTCATATGACATGCGTTACCCAACCAAACTGCAGTTCAAAATGAAAATGAAAATGAAAACCAATCGTGATTTTGTTTACGCATTGTTTTCTTCGCCTGTGCTTGTTGAGTTGGCTAGTCACTTTTTTGTTGTGTAATTATTGACTCAATTATTTTAATATGTTTTAGTTTGAAAACTCAAAAGGTCAGTGCGCGGGTAGTTGCTTACCCTCAGGGGAGGGAGGAAGGGAACGGCGGGGGATGCATTTTGTTGACGTTTGGGCTTTGCTTGCATGGTGTGAACCCGAACAATGTTTATACGACAGATTCGTTTATTTTGCTACCCTGTTTAAGATTTCTATTCGGTGACTTTCAGGCAATAAAACTGCGGTATGAGGTCTTATTCGTTAGAGATTTACCGGATGCGAGATATGTACTGAAAAATTAACGGGATACAGCGGGTTGTTTTGGGGGTAAATCAATGGGACATGGGATCTTTAGAACAGATATTAATTTTCTGGATAGAAATGGAAAATGACTAATCTTTGAAAATTAGAATTTACTGGATGCGGTATATTTAGGCAAAAATTAATGGGATATGGGACTCCCAGACCTCCCGTAATGGAGCCTTGTTCCAAGTCTAGCCATAAGTCATAGTGTTTTTCTCTAATTCAGATAACGTATAAAAACCCAACGGAATGCCTTCAGTGTCCTTGACGGTCTAGTGAGGTGCCATCCACACTGCTAAAGTCATAATTACAGTATCATTCAACTTTAAACGACCCTGGGATTAAACAAGGAGTCACAAGCGAACTCGAACCACAATACGCGAGCGCATATCGTGAGGGAGTTCAAACTTTTTTATGCCTTGATTGCTGCTGACAATTGAGGAGCATTGAAGCATTTTATTTACATGTCAATTTAAATTTCAATTACTAAATTTCTTATTATACAGTTGTTATATTGCTTTGTGTTATTAAAATAAATAATGAAGTCTTCATTTTAAACTTATCCTTAAATAAAAAATATGAACGTTTAATTACGCTGCAAACCTCTCTCAAGTGGGCCTCAATTTAATATGTCTTCGAGTTAATCAGAAACTGTTTTCGAGTGGTTGGATGTCAGGGAGTTCTTTCCTGACTAAGGTAGATCATCAATTCAGACAACACGAAAAAAAAACATTAACATTCTAAGTGTTTCAAGTAGCACTCATAAATTACAGTTTTTGTCTCTGAATCAACAGCAGGTTCTTAGTTCGCACACCAGTAACACAAGATACATGGACAAGTAAATCTCAAGAGGTCCGGCCCCTTTTCAGTGAGAGCAAAAAAATAGTGGGAGAAATAACGATGGGTGGTAAATCTAACGCCTCCAAACTCTCCCACGCCCAACTTTTGACCCCCATGCTTCTCTTTTATTGTTTGGTCATTAACCCTTAGTCTTACATATCGGCAAAAGTCCACGACCATTTTGAGCTCGAAAAGTTAAAGTGCCGTCTCCTCCTCATCATGCATTAAAGTCTTCAGTACGTCATCAATCTTACAGTCTTTCAGCGTTAAAAGTTATGGGTTCGAGTTTCTTAAACTTGTTAAGTAAATAATGACAAATAATATATACAAACTTAATTTCAGAACAGTATTTTCATAACGATTATCTTGTTCAATATCCATCCTAAACTTTCGAGACTTCTGACTTTTCTATCTCTTTCTTACACCGTTCACATAAATGACTCAATATCAGCATGGCTGATATGGCTCTTGTCCACATCTGAATTCTGAAGAAAATGGGCCCCGGGTAAAGACCCTCGTTAGATATTTTAACGTACCAAAACTATATACTCAGTTTAACTCCTTTTTCTTACTGGTGTCCAGGCCAAACAAATAGTGCACTTCCGAGTTGCCTTCGTAGGAAACCATTTATGTGGAAATCTGTTCCGCCTACATGTTCATTTTCTTGCAACTCGGAAATGGCCTATTTAGAGTGGAGTCTGGAATGGAGCAACGCAAACGAGTCTTCAGACACAACTAGACGGTAGTCAGCAGTTGCACTATACCCAGGACCCCCATACTGCCCCGAGACACGAGCCGTCACCGTCGTCGTCAAATGAAACGCCAACTTTCTTGGAGGAGAGAGCTAGGTACGACACGACACCCGCGCTGAGGAAAACGGCGCCGACCACGGAGGCGATTATGAGGAAAGGAAGAACCGTTAAACTTGCCACAAGGTATACGATGAACATGAAGAACGTCAGAAATACACCTGTAGAAACGAAACAGTGGCGTTAACCGGTGAAAGCGAGAAATATTTCTGATACATTGATGTCTATAAATGAAATCATGGAGAAAGTGACAGGAATCATAGCACGTGTGTTTGTAACTGAACTTGTGACCTCCGTGTTATCGGTACCAAGATGTTCCAGCAACTGGATTATTACTCACGGTCACATCAGAGTGGGTGCATTTGTGATATATATCGCATACTTATTGTGTTGCTTCCAATCAGAGGAGAGATTGAGGAAATTCAGAACGCCCTTCCAGGTTGAAAATGATAAGGTAGCGACAACAAGACAAGGTAGCGACAACAGTGATCGCAGTTGGTCTTCGAGGAAGCCAGGCTAGACAGACAGAACGCAAAAAGAAATTCTACAAAACAAAAGCTCTAGATAGCGCTCTTCCCCGCGAAGGCCTACTCGCGGGCTACAAAAGCTTAGAATGCAGAGAGGAATTAAAAGACATTGTCAGCAGCCCACCTTTTCCTAGTAAGCTATACCACTGATGTTCTTTGCTGACACCACAACAGAACACAAACACGACCAACCAACAAGGTGCTTGTTCTTTGTTCTTCGCTTTCTCCTTCTTTTGTTTGCTCCAAACGTTTACTTTATCTTTGCTTTTGGGAAATTTCATCTTCGGTCCCGAGAACTTTCGTTTTGACTCGGGCGCCGCGTCTGCTTCTGTTAGTCTACTCGTTCTTTCGGAATCTTTAAACTTGGTTTCCGTTTTAAACTTTGGTTTAACTTTAGGGGAAGATTCTTCCGTGGATCTGAAAACACAGTAATGGTAGTAACAGAAAAGAAAACCCATTAATAACAAATAAAGCTAGAATGTAGAGCAACAACAACGATTACAATGCTGAGGCATACCGCGTGTGAACATTTTGTAACATAAATGTTTATACATAGTGGAATAGTTTTTTCACTTAAGAGAAAAGCCAAGCTAGCGCTCTAAATATTGAATAACTTACTCTCCAGCCTCTATACATATTTCAGTGTACGACTTGATTGTAATCAGTCTTGGCTGCTGCCCTTTTTTCCTAAGAAAATAAGACAAGTGAGTTTGGTAACAGGAGATTTCGTGAACGAGAATTCAAACCGGGCGTAGGAGGAGTAGTAGTTAGGTTTCCCACAATACCTCGCTTCCAAATACAGGGTATTGTAACATTAGTCAAGTGATCACTTATTGATGTGAAGTATATATGAAACAATTCATATTTGAACTGCGGTTGTAGATGAAAGTGAAGAATGATCATCGCAGTAAATTTTCCAATTAAGCAATTGGAAAGAAGCCTGAAAAAAACGGGTTCGAATCCCGTTGAAGCCCTGATTTTTTTTAGGCTTCTTCTTTCCAATTGCTTAAATTGGAAAATTTACTGCGATGATCATTCTTCACTTTGATCACTTATTAGTAAGTAAGTGAGTATCAACTTTATTTTTCGAGGGTAGCACAAATATTAATAATACTAAGACAAATACAACAAATTAAAAATAAACATACTAGAAGATAAGAAAAAGTACATAATTAAAATTTTAGCATAAAAAGGCATTTATACTCTAGAAACTAGGCTAAAAAAAATACTTTTTAAGAGCAGCTTTAAAGGCGTTAACGGTGTCTTACTGTCGTACTGACACCGAGTGGAATCGCATTCAAAAGCTTAACCCCACGAACTTGAAATGTACGTCCCCCTTCAGTTTCCTTATTATATCGTGGACACACCAGATTAATTGAGTAATTGAGTTTGTAGAGGTAAACAGCGAAGTACTTTCACCTTCGCCATTAATCTATAAGCTGCTTGGATTTAGACAGTCAGATGTATATCAAATCGTCCAATTTGTCCCACCATTGTCCACATATCTTTGTGGGTAACGTACGTTTCTCTACCGGATCAGATCTCTTTATTCTTCAAGCTAGAATCTCTGTCGCCATAGGAGTCAACTATGGACTAAAACTAGAAAGAGAGCAATTAAGGTTACAGTATACCTTCGGGTCGGCAATTTTCTTCAAATTTGGATTTTTGGNCGCGCGAGACACCCCTGAAGGTATACTGTAACCTTAAGTCCGCGCTACTCAAAAGAACTGTTTATGTTTGCCGACCTTTGGCGAGAGTTGCAGACATCACGTCAAACAAAAGAATTGTGCAGCACAAAGCCCCTATTGATTTTAAGTAATCCTGCCAATCCTTATCGCTCGAAGTAATCAAGAAAGGGCCGAGAAATAGCAGCCATACAGTGGGGATACTTGTACGCGGCGGGATTACTGATTGCGCCTTGCGCTCATGTCTACTCGGTGACAGTTCCCATGGAAACTTGTAAGATAAAAATTATAATATATAAAGCCGGGAGCCATAATCGGGGACGGAGACCGTAAGTCTTGGGATCCGCGCGCACCTATGATATGGGACAATTTTTCTATTTTTGGAACAAATTGCGCCATC